CCTAAACAGTGAAAACTGTCACACAAATATCTAAATTTGGGGGAAGGTGTGAGAATCTTCGGGTAATATAATTTGTGCCATTTCATACCTGACACCCTAGTTTTGACAATGCCCACGGAGGAAAGGAAATAAAAAGAGCACGAAGAAAAACTTTAGCAAAAATGGATTTTCTGCTGTGATGACAATTACCTATTTTTCTCATCATTGTTTTTTATGATGGCTTTATGAGGGCTATTTTGTTTCCATTTCAACTTGCTTCAGAGATTGCATTTCTTGAAAGATGGACCCATTCCTCTAAAATTTGCAGTTACTTTTCTTTTTTTATGGAGTTCAGAGGGGTGGAATAATGATGAACATTTTAAAATGCCATTCTACCCTGTGGGAGGAATTGATATGGTTCATTCTTACCCAAAAAGATGCGTTTCTCAAGTTGATGATGTCTGGATAAGTTAGACCACTAAATTCTCAGTCAGGTTAGGGATAGTCATCCTAGCAGTTGGTTGAGCATTGTAAAGCAATGAGTTTGAAGGGTGCCAGGTTGAAGAAGGACCCATTTCTACATGTAAGAAAGACCAAGTCACAATTATTATTTCCAGTACATATAAGAGCAGTCATGAGAAGAGAAAACAAAGGACATATTTGGCATAAGTACAAATAAAAGGCAAAGTGAGAAAGAGCAGAATAACCAGCACCCGGACTGAAGATGCCCTACTTTTTAAGATCACTCCCCAGCCAGTCCAGCTGATATCAAAAAGCAAATATAAAAGCTCTGTAGCAGTTGTGTGGTGTGATGGCAGTGGAGCAGTTGGCATTGAAGGGTTCTGGGTGTGAGAATGGTTGTGGGTTTTGCTTACTTTATATAGGAAACTGGAAGTAACTTGAAGTTAAGGAGAACTGTAGCTTACTCCTGATAGTAAGGAGCAGCAGTAGACGTAGGCAGGATTTGATAACAATCTGGGACCACTACTCAAGGGTTCTGCTAGTGTGGGGGATGGTGGAAGGCCAGGGAGGCTGGAGTGGGCCCTCTGGGGTGTTGGAACCCAATGAATTGAGTATTGACCAAAGGACCCTGTGACACAAAGTTAAAAACATCTGGAAAAGCCCTGATATCCTGAGAACAGTTTGGACTGGCTGTCAGAACAGTGAACAATACCAGCAATTGAGGCTTTTGAATGTGCACTACTTGCCAGACTCTTACATAAGCCTTCTGTGCGTTTTTCACATTGCATTTTCAATTTGAATTATTGCTATTTATTTTCTTATTTTTGTTTGTACAAAATAGCAAGCGTGTACTTAGATATTACTGCTATTAGCATTATACTACATAAGCAGGAGAAAAAAAATTATAAAAAGTATGACAGGGCAAGCCACTTGTATATAAACAAAGAGCAAACCCCACTCCCTTCTGGGACTGATGATGTTATCTAGTAGGGTAATAAAACGTCTGCAAGAAAACAACCAAGCTCAGACAACCCCAAGGGCCCCATCGTTCAACCGCTGCATTGCAAATATTCTCTTCTATGGGCATAAAAAGTGTGTTTTCTTTCTTTAGGTGACCGTCCTTATATCGTACTCACGGCACGGGTTCACCCTGGTGAGAGCAATTCCAGCTGGGTTATGAAGGGGACTCTGGAGTTCCTCCTCAGTAACGATCGACTAGCTGATCTTCTGCGCCAATGCTTCATCTTCAAGATTATTCCCATGCTGAATCCAGATGGAGTCATCAATGGCCAGTGAGTTATTTTATTTAAATATTTATCATAGTGTTGTGTCATGGTAATGACTTAGGGAACCTGGTGGCTCATGTGTTTAAGATGCTGGATTGGAGGTTGGCAATACCACATCTGAGATCTGAGTGCTGCTGTGGGTCAGGGGCAGGGGTGCGATTCAACCGGTGAGCGTATGTTTTGTGCCTGCATGCAGCGTTTCAAAAGCACTGCTTTTTCAGCTCTAAAACTTATCTTCTGGTACAGTCCTGGTGAGTAAATCAGATGAGGCATTGCAATCCGCTGTGCTGCGCCAATCAGTTGAGCTGAAAACACTGGACATAAAGGACAGAATAGGGCAGGGGTGAGTGGGCAAGGCCAAATCGTCGTTGTAATTACTGGTTCGCCCAAACTGGGCTGAGCCGGTAGAATCCCACCCCTGGGCAGGGTGAACTCCTGCCCTTTGCTCCAGCTTCTGCCAGGGATATGAAAGGACCAGAAATGGGCTGCACTTACGTTAACAACCGGTTCGTTGCTTGCCTTGAAAAGGCTGAAATGCAGCTTCAAACATGCAGCTAATCTATTCAGGCAGCTCGGGTGAGTACAGCAGGCATGGTGCGGAACTCAGCTGGGCAGTGTGGGTGGAGGGAATGAGCCAGAAAGTTAGTTATATATGGAAAGGATACTGCAAGGGTGGGTGGGTGGGCCCAGCCAGTGATCACTACTACTAGTTTGCATGAACCGGTCTGACCAGGCAACAGCCCACCACTGGAAAGGACCCCCACCAAGTGGATGTCCCCCAGGCAACGGTGATGTCGCCAACTAATCCTTTCAACCCGGTGCTTCCAACGTGAGTGCAATGCAATCATAACAACTCTTAGCAACATATAGTTTGGTGCGCTGTTGAAATATGAATAATGTTGCTGCTTTAAACTGTGAATTCCAATTTCAACACTCATCAATTGAGCATTTCAGTGGGATCTGTCAAAATGGTAGCTGGCAATACCTTGAGAATCTCACGGGGTTTCTAATCTTGAGATGATATTATCTATCCGGCTAAGAAACCAGGATGTCAGCTATTTGGTTTTAGATGAATGGGGATGTCTTTGAAAGGGATAGTCCACATTCTATGAATGGAAATAAATAAATAATAATAAAAAAGTGTGATGTAGAGAAGGGGAACCAATTCATGCGATCGCAAGTGAGAAGGGATGAGGATGCAATATAACATGTAGAGAGAGAGAGAGAGAGTGCTCAGTGAGAGAGCTGCCTGCTGTTAGTGGGAATGATGTGCAGAGTTGTGCAGGCTGACTGGGCATCACAAATCACTTCTTCTAATAGGAAGCTTGAGAGGTGATTGCCAAGAGGATTGCGTTATAATGAGGCTATTAAGATGTCTCCCCCCCCAACTACAGTCCACAGAGAATTGAGCATGTAAGGCTCTAATGCTGACACCAGTAGGAAATAGGAAATGGAAATCTGTGAATGGGTATATAACAACCTGTTAGGGAACCCAAGAAAAGATTTTATTCCAGACCATTGCTTTCCCTTGGATTTACTCTGGTATATGAATATCACTTAGCTCTTGGTGCTATCCATGCTCACCTCCAAGGAAAGAAGGGTGGGTGACTTGGCATGCTTTTGCCAGACCTCCTTATGAGTGGATATCTGCTTTTCTATCTCTGGAAAACAACAATATCTGCCTATTGACATCATGTCAATTAAAAACCAGAATCCGTGAACACCAGCTGGCAGTCAATCTCCACGATCCCTAATCTCTACCCTCTACTCTTCGGTGTCACACTAACACCAAACAGCACCAATTTGATTGCAGCAATACAAGAATCACAGCCATGATTCTTTCACACATATGAGTTTATCGAAGCCTGGCATTCTACAAGCAATTCCATCAATAGACACGTTGACCTATAATTAGCCTACGAACCCCTCAAAATTCAAATAAACTGCACAGCCAACCAGTGACAGCACTGACCCTTAACCAACCTACACAAGACCCCCAACCAGAACTTCACTTCCCAATAACCCTCACCTGACATGACCTCCCCATCACTAGACCCATCACAAGACCCTCCACTTGACGTGACCCACACCTGACCCATCACAAGACCCATCACAAGTCTCTCACTTGATGTGATCCTCACCTGATGGGACCTCCCCATCATAAGACCTACTGATCACTTGAAGCCCTTATAAGCAGAAGAACACTGACACTCCCTAAAGTCCACTGAAGATATTACCCATCCTGGTAATGAAGTGTTCAGAAACCAACCCACAAGCTCAAAGAACAAACCTCCAGCCTCAATATATGCCTATCCCAAGACCTTGGGAAGGACTTGATGGGTAGATGAAAATGCCAAATCTGGTCTTAACATCTGGCTGATTGTGTGACCAACCATAATGATTTGATGCAATTCAATGGCATTCAAAAATCTGTCCTTTTTACAGAGCCTTATCTTATAGTTGTTGTGTATGGTTCGAATCCAGAATTAGGCACCATTTGAAGGTTCTCGAAGCTTGCATTTATAAAGACTATTCACTGAGTAATCCATTTTATGGTAAATTAATTGCCTACCTTTTAACCAATTAATCAGTTATTTGGCAAATTAACATAAATGTTACAGCAATTCAGTCAGAGTGGCAGTGTGTGTGGATTTAATGTATTTAATGAAGACAGTGCTTTGTATTGACTGATTAACCTGGAAAAATATAATTGTTAGTGGTTTGGTAAATTATCTTAAAATTCATTGCCTGAGTCAGGAAATGCTGATTCTTTCTATAATGACCTCCGTGTTAAAGATGGTTATTATAAGGGAAGAAATCTTGAATAATAGCTAATTGAGATAACAATGGTTTTTTTTTTTTTAAAAAAAAAGCTACATTCCTTAAATCAGGCTACTTTATTAAGGCTGCAGCTTTATTTGAGAGAAAGCATCTTTAAAGTCATTGGAATGTACATGTGAATAAATACTCATAAAACAAAAAATCTTTCTGAATTTCACAGGCGAAAAAAGCTTGTACAACATCCACATTCTTTTATCTAGGATCAATGTCAAAAACTTCTCTCTTGATGTGCTATCAAACATTTACTCTGGAACGGTCCTACACTGAATTTAAAGCAAGATAATGATTGAGTTTCCCCCTCCTTTTATTGAAATGTAAGTTAAAAAAGAGATTATGCTCTAATTGGTTATCTGCAATTAAAAGTATTTTTTTAAATAAAACTTTGCATTGTGTAAAATGACGTGCTGTGAGTTGCAGAGTGCCTTTTTCCTGATCAATCTTACACATACTTAAAAAGAAAAGTCCTGCTGAATTCAGGGAGATTTGGTTCTGAAGTCTAACAGGTTGGAAGGACCTAGCCAATTCTGGTTGATTGCAAAATGCTAAATTTAGTAGGGTTAGTAGGGGGATGGAAGACCAATAGAAGAGAATATCTCTAGCTTGGAGTTAAACTGTCGGATCCTTGGTACTCTCTGAACTTGGTTGTTTTCTCGCAGATGTTTCTGTACCCAACTAGGTAATCTCACCAATGATAGGAAGTATAGAGTTTTTGCCCTGTTTATATACAGTAGCTTGCCCTGCCAGTGTTGATGGAGATGTGGTTTTCCTTTGATAGTTCCTTTATTAGGGTATTGTTTTCTTTATGATTGTTGATCTGGTATTAATCCCTGCTTATCTGGGTATTGAGTGCTGAAGAGGATATGTTTGGGTCTTTTTGTCTTCTTAGCTTTTTTTTAATTGTTATTTTGAATGGTATGTAAATGTGGGGGGAAGTCCACCATAAAATCTCAGGACTTTATTAGTCCTTTAATCACAGGACTAAATCCCCCAAATAATTACATCGCTAGCGACTTAGTTTTCAGTAAATTGATTTAATTCAATAAATTTACATAGCCGTGACATTGATAACAGTAATATGGTGATCAGCTGATTTTTAGTTTTGAATCCTGATCAGGGATGATAATTAATTATTAATTTTAAAAGTATGATTCCCGCTGAAAAAGATTAATGTTACCTCTTTGGTGGAAAATGTCCACCAATGCCTAATGTTTCATTTAGAATACAGTAATGGGTAATGTAGGCTATTATCATTTCCCTCCTAAGATGAATATTAGAAATGGTGTTTGTGGCTCTGGAAAGGTTGGTATGTTAGATGACATTTATTCTTGACAATGTGGTGCTGGCTACCAGCTTGGTTGGTGTCATGCCCCTGGTGGAGACCGACTCTGAGGAAGAAGAGGAACAGCCAACAGGGAGTGGGAGTGTGGTTCCAGAGGTGGTGGAGGAGGCTGGAGAAGGGCAGAGGCTGGCTGAGCAATCAGAGGAGGATCCAGGCCCATCCCCTATCCATCCTAGGTCACGCAGGGAGGAGAGGATCAGGGAAAAGAGAGGTTTACTCAAGAGGAGATTACCATGATCCTCCTCGTGGCTTGCAGCTGGGAGCTATATATAAAAGTTTATAACTGCGCAGTCAGAATTGCTGAAGTCAAAGTTTAGTGTTTACTTTGAAAGAGGTTTATCTTTGCTGGCGTTCTTCCCATGGACTCTCCTTGGTTATTTTCCTGGAGTTTATGATTAGTTGTCTTGGCTTGCTTCGGAACGCTCGTCAATGCGGTTTGTTTTGGTTTTCTTTTTGCCTCATTATTTACTTTTGTGACTTTAAGCTGTGCCCAATTAAACAGTGAAGCCTTACCGGACTTTAATGTATGTTTTGGGTTTGGGGTTATTTTGAGAGACTACGGGTCATCACAGTTGGCTTCAAAAATGGCTGTTAATTATGGGAACTGGTGACTCTGATCCTCCATGGCAGCATCATTGCCTCTAAAGACCTACTACTGGGAGTTTAGTCGACTTCTTTGTGCATTTGTCGGCCATGGTAAACACTAACTGCTATACTAGATGGGGAATTACTTTATGGTCTATTTTTTTTCTCTGTTTTTTTTTTTGAAACAAGAGGAGTTTTTAAGGAAGGATTTGGGATCAGTCTGGACTTTCCAAGCTTTGAT